AGGCGAAATATCGTGACTTGCTCTCTTCTACTCAGGGAATTTATTGCATCTTTAGAGTTGGAGGCTGTCATGTGTGCAAATACAGTTCTTCCAGTTTTGAAAGGTTATTGACAAGTGATGGGACTTTTTTCAAGAAATAAGGGATGGGTGGAGTGGGGGTGGGGGAGCTGTAGACAGTCAATTCGTCACTTCAACCAGAAATATCGCGCTAGACCATGTATTGTCAGTACCAAGAGAAAAAAAATGTACTTCAAGAAATGTTTTTGTACATCAAACTAAAAGCCAAGATGATAATCACATCATGTTCTCTGGAGAGGTTTTAAAGAGAAGAAAAAATGGGGACAATCTGTAAATTTCATTTTTCTGTGTGATGCAGGTTTGTCTTCAAGACTGCCGTCATGTGGCACTGGCACTGGTCAAGCGACGGCTTCTCCCACGGTTTTAGCCGGGGCCAGTCTTCACAGTCTGCCAGGCTACAGTCACACGCTGTCCCAAGCTCTGTGGAAGCCATACCGGCTAGAAGCTGTGAGGATGAAGAGCACACATCTAGCCGACACTAAAACGAGTCGATACCTCGGGTAAATATTGTCATTTTGCTAAGGCAGGGGGTGTTAAAGTTGATAGTTCGATGCTTTATATTTCCTTTTTTTTTTCTTTTTTTTTTACTTTCCCTCTTTCCTATGTGTCCATAAAGAGGGAAGCATGTGATTTCGTATAATTTTGTTTAATGTAATCTGGCTGGTTTTGTGCAAACGTATGTCGACATTTGATAACAATTTAACTCTCCACCTTCTTTTGATTTCCCAGACAAACCCATTATCTCGGGGAGCATGCCATAATGTAGAAAATGCTGTCAGTGAGTGGGTCTGAGACCATGCTATTTTCTGTGTAATGGTGTAAAAGGATGGTGTATATTACTGGCCAGAACAGTGAAAAGAATTACAATTGAAATATATTGTTGTGTGTTTTTTCATTGTTTTAATAGAAGGTAAATTTATATTACCGTAACTGCTTAGTTTAGTTCAAGATCCTGCCTTACACTATTTTGAAAAATGATGTATGATGAAATTTAACACTGAGCAGTCGAATGACTAATTAATGAAAGATTAGTTTATGATTTTCTCTGATGTCAGGATGTATTTCGTAATTCTATGATCAGGTCTGGAATGTATTGTTTCTTTTTTTTTCTTACTGTGCACATTTAAATGCATTTGTTTATTATTTATGAGACCATTACCTTCAGTGTTTGAAATGTTGGGGGTTTTTTTTTCAGAGTGGCAGGCATTGAAGGGGCCGAAGATTTCACCCCACTTTCAGACAAAGACCTTCAGACAAGTAAGTTCTACCCATCAACAAGTTGTTCAGAATGTCGATATGTAGGTAGGAAGACGGTATAAAATGTTGCAACAAAATCTTACCAGCTAGACTTTATGATCAGAGTTCTTTCATCCTTTTGTAATGAGATGACAGATTTGCCTATCGTATTTTCTTAATCTTCATTTGGTCATTATATAGGTGTAACCTATATATATATAAATTTTGATTGAAAGAATTTTTAGAGAACACCTGATTCTACAACAGAAACTATGAATACTGAGCTTTGTACCAGCCCCATCACCCGCTTGTACCTTTACAATTCACTTTCGTTCCTTCACATGTTATGTACACACAAGGTTACCAAACACAACTCCCCTGCTCTCTCCACATCTACATGGTTTGTTATATTTTTAATTTGTATATTACGAAACTACCCTGGGTTTCAGAATACAATGCAAGGATAATTGAAACAGCTTTTTAGTATGTTTGATAAAAGATTTTTTTTTCAGTAAGTCAACCTATTCTCCCCCCCCCCCCCCCCCCCCCATTCTTCTTCTTGCAGGTGTCTCAAATAAAAAACCAACCCCCTCAGGAGAAGGGGGGAGGGTGCCTTTTTTTTCCCATAAAGAACAATCTAGAAAAGGGGGAAAAAGAACGCTGAAGACATCATTGTGGTCAAGAATGACTTTCCTCCAAACGTTGGCGACAAGATACGCTTAGAGAAGGTAAGTTATACAAGGTAATGCTCTCTTCTGGAGATGGGATTTGCATTGCTCTATATATATTATAATTATATAGATGAAAAGCTTGTTAAGCAATTTTCTTTTCTTCTTATGCCCTCTGGTGACTGGCGCACTTGGATTCAGAGCCCCAGGGTTTGAATCCCAAGGTGGTCAAAATTTCTTTTTTCCTTTGTGGTATTTTTTTAATGGGTTCTTAAACATAGGCCTACTTAAAAGTAGGTAGCATAAACACAGCCTTGCAGGCACTCACGGCCTTCCGAGCGCGTGGTATCGGTGAAATCGGGGTAGTTCAGATTGCTGTTACTTTACTCTTTCACTTTAAAACACCAAATGCTGTACACCTTGTAAAAGTTCAGCTTTTCCTCGTTACGATGGTGTAAGTTGTTTATATGTTCAATTATTAAGAGCTGGAGTATTGCCGTGGAAAGCGAAGCCCGTCGCGGTCAGAGCGCGTGGTCGGCCGGTTCAAAAAGTGACACGCGTGCATTCAAATGCTTCGCGGAAAGATTCATTATTAAATACCGTCTTTTCATTGGCGGAGAACTGTAGACTTTGTGCTGTTGAAGCTAGTGAGGTGAGCAGAATAAGCCTGATTCCCTGTATGGATTTCTCTCTTGACATCCACCCCTTGGCGCTCATATGACCTTATGCTGTTGTGAGCGCGTTTAAAAAATCTACTAAAACCAAACAATCACCTGTACAAACAGCTACTTCCCATTTCCTCTAGTGTGGTTTGCTCCTTCTTTCCTACCAAACATCTATCGTCTTTATCTCTCCTCCTTCTTTTTTGTGTTTATTACTGTTTTGTAACACCTCCAATCTTCAGCACTTATATGACGTTATTGTGTTGCAAGTGCCGTAAGATGCTTACTAAAACAAAGACATTTCCTCCCTTGCTTATATTTTACATTATAATGACAGTCTAAGACAGACACTGGGATCTTAGACAGAGACTGCTGTACTTTGAGAAAAGAGTATGGAGTGAAGTGTTGAGCAATGTCAAGCTGTTTCAGTGGATCCAATTGTTTGAGTCTGTGCTGCCTTTGTTTTTTTCCTCAGGTCATGGCAGTTGGAGGACGAGACTTTAGCCTCTTCGGTCAACCTCTCCTTAGGTAGGCTGCTGCAGAACTCGTTGTTGTTGCTGTTGTTGTTGTCGGTCACGAAGGAGCTGAACTTTCACCTTTCTGGGGGATGCCATGACGTAGAATGCACGTGTCGCATCTGTGTCTGATAATTATGATTAACTGTTCTGTATGTGTGTGTGTGTGTGTGTATTATATATGCCAGGAGACAGGTCTCAGCTGTCTGCAGAGCTGTTTTTGAGATAGAAATGGGGCTTGGTTTGTGGAAAAAAGTAGTTACTTCAGAAGACACAACTTCGGACTTCAGTGAAGAATGTAAGACATATTTTTTTAATTTGTACTTTTTGAATCTATATATTAGCGGTTTTAACTACATGCTGTTGTTCACGATGTGTTAAGAATTTGCTAGAAAGATAAGATACGATAAGATAGATCTTCATTGTCCAGATCCTGGCACATTGGTTTGGTGTTTCACCACACACACACACACACACACACACACACACACACACACACTCACACACACATATTCACACACATGCACATACAGTCAAAGTGCTTTCGTTGGTTTTGTTTCATCTCAAAAGAAGGCCAATTTTCCAGTCATGAGCCATCATGTTGTTCACCCAAATTCATGATTATCCCCCCTACATGAGCAGATGGGGTGTCCATGACCATAATGTCCATTTCTTAACCACTGTCTGGACTGCACATCTGTACCTTGTCTGCTTATAAGAGCCATTTGTTGATTATAAAATAAGTAAACTTCCTCTACCTGCCTCTCCTTCTATTTACTGTGTATAGGAACAGACAATTGGCAGGTTTTGGGCAAACTCGGGTGCAGTCTGTTCCACATACTTCAAAATTTTCTCATCATTCCCGTGTTTATGATACAGCATTCGTTGTTACTTTAAGAGTGAGTCTCATAATAAAGTTAATTCATATTAAATCTATATATTATCATATGGAAAAAAAATCAGGATACTAATTCTAGGCAGTTTAGTGAACGCGCTCGCGGCAGGGCGAATCGGCCGCGGTACGCCCCGTAGATTTTTGTGACCGGCCGTGAAGCCTCGCGCTGCGGTGGGTCTAAACAACTCACAGTTTTGTTTCGTTTTGCGAATTGCACTACCACTCCCGATACATCTTTTTAAACAGAAAAGAAAGGTCTTCAAAATGGCGGTCTTGGCGTGAAAATCGATTCAGTAGAACTGGAAATATTTGCATCTGAAAACAAGGCAGTTTTTACAACGCGATAAAATGAAAACTACTGGCTGTATATTTATGAATCTTTCAGAAGTTATAGATTATCCATTCTAGTTTCTTTTGACACCCGAGTTGTTTAGGTTGAACTTCGCACAACGCTACGGCGCTTCCCGTAAAAATGCATACAAAAAGCCGAAACGCCGAATCGGCCGGTCAGCGACCCGGCACCCCCGCTCTCCCCTGCACACTGTGATAACGTATTGCGCCGGCATCGCATTTATTCGCGCTTTACTTGTTTCTCCGGATAATAATAATACGTGCGGCTTTGAAATTATGAACAGACAGACAAAAGAATTCACAGTTTTGCTTTTATTTTACCATATTTGGCTCTTGAATAGTGCAAATGATAGGTAAATCTAGAATTCAGCAGTAGTAGGCTAGAAACAGTAAAAAAGCCAGCATATCTAACTATTTATGCCTTTGGGCTTTGGAATTGAAATAAAGCTTGAATTGCACAGTTCTAATTGATGTTAGATTCAGCATCTAGCTATATATTTCAGAGTTAATAATAAATCTCATCATAACAATTGCTTTTATGTGACAACCTTTTTCTTAAATCAGTTTTGCGCAAACTTACTTGTTAGTAGTATAGTAGTAGAGAACAGAGTTTATCTGAGCCTCTGCTCAGTCTTCACTTTCAGTACCTAATAATTTAATGTTGTTATTTTCTGGATATTTTTACATTTACATGATCAAATTGTGCCATTTAAAAAAATATAATTTATAGCCAATGAGTCTGACTCAATATTTTTAAAAAAATATGCTCATCAATAAAAAATTGCTAGTTGATAATAACTCAAAATGTAATGAATAGTGAAGAAACATAAAAAATAATAGAATGAGGTAGACTATAAATATAATTTGTCCAAAAAATTGCAAGTGCAACTTGTGTGAAGATCATAAAATGACTTATTTTTTTCCTTTTCATCTTTCCGCAGTTTATTAAATGTTCCAGTGGGTCTACAACTAGGTCTCCGAAGAACATTTTTCTTGAATTTATAAGCTCTTTTATGCACTTGAAAGCATAAAATATAGCTTCACACAAATGTATGTTACAATACTTTGTAAAAGAAGGATAGGGAGCTGACTTATGGCGGTCATTAAGAGGTTGTTGTTGTTTTTTTACGGAATCTGTTTAACGGTTAGAAAAACACTAAAAATACGTTTTGAAATCTTAAGAATGGCCATAAAAATTGGAAATTATTACTTTATTGGCTTAACTCTTTAATAATTATAAACAGTGAAAAAAGACAAAGAGAATGATGTATGATTTGTCCAAATATGACCATTAGCAGCAAAGATATAGCCCATTTTGTCCATTTCGGGTTATCCTTGCGGGGGTTTTTATCACCCTGAACCTCTAGAAGTACCCAAAAAATATTTATGTGACTTTGTAAAGAGGTGTTTTGTAGTTGTGTGCATTCTGTGTAAAATTCCCAACAAACTGATGTACAACACTTTAAAAAATATGCATTTTGTGTTGAGTAATGGTCATTTGTGTTGTAAAGTTGCATTTTTGTGTCACAAAAACTCAGTGTTAAAAGTGGCCTGAAATTGGCCGGATTTTAGGCATGAAAAATCACCACAACTTTTTAACTAATAAAGATATCAACAAAATTTAAACTGTTTTATGATCATGAAGGCAAGAGCTTTCAAATGAAAGTATTTCAAAGCATATCAGACAAATTTGAAATTTTCACTAAACTGCCTACTAATTCATTTTTCCCACCATCACCTGTTCCTCACTGTTTCTGTTCCGTGTAGAGCTTGAGGGAGGCTATAACTGTATGCCCATGTTCCTATCTTGCCCCATCGGAACAGATGATAGTGTATTTGAGGGCCTGCTGTGGTCCACCTTTTACACCTTACTTGTAATGATGGTGCTTATGGTTACCGTTTGCTCCTTCTTTCCTATCAAATATCTATCTTCCTTATCTTTCCTCCTTCTTTTTTGTGTATGTTGCTCTCTTGTAACACATCTATTCTTTGGCACTTATATGACCTTATTGTGTTTCAAGTGTTGTAAGACTCTTACTAAAACTAGGTTACCGTGTTACAAACTAACGTGAAAATATCCAGCTTATGTCCTGCACGCTCATATGATAGTTGCGAGTGCTGTAATACTTTTACCAAGCTATCCTAAAGCTTACGGTTTTGTGGGCTTGCGATGTGCACTAGACAATGTCAGTTGCAGCGAGTGCAAAAATAGTCAATCTTCTGCCCCTTTAGGTGTTGAATGTGCGTGTGTGTGTGTGTGTGTAATTTTTGTTTGTGTACCCACACTGTTATGTCATTCACTTTGATCTGTTTTCTTTTTCCATGAATATTTAGAATCTGTAATGTATTGTTCAGTTTATTTTGTATAATTGTATAGGAAAAGGCAAGAAAGAAGTTTTCATCGAGCAAGTGTTATCGAATAAAATACACATTTTCCCCTCGACATTACCCACAGGTAGTAGTCGTCGTGGAGAGTATGATATTGATATGAATTAATTTTGACCCAGGTTGTGAATTTCATCTGAAATGTTGACAACTGATGGGCGCTTTTGCCGTTTTAATTTTTTTTTTTTTTTTTTTTTTTTTTTTTTGGTACAGGTGTTCATGGCTCACTCATATTTTAACACTTCACGTGTAAGAGGTTAGAAGTATTTTTAGTAACCAATTGTGATTTCATTATTCTCCAGTCGCAGTGTGGTGAAGGTAGAGGCCACAGTGGTGGAGAAAACACTAACTCACAACCGAGTGTGGTACGTGTTCACCAGGAAAAAAAATACCAAGACCTTCCACTGTGAGTACTCTTTTAAAATTTTGACCATGCCAGGTAGGGGGTAGGGGGGGGGGTGGTTAGGGGTTTCCATGGTTACTCAACACCAGCGTGCACGGTATGTTGACTGATCTGGATAAAGGTGTGGTCGGGGAGATGATAAGCCGTCTTTTCAAATTAGTGTCTTTGTGTGATGAGTAATTTGTGCAGGAAACATTTCTCACAAGGCTTGTGGAACTCTTTGTGTTGTATTGTGATCCAGGAGAAAGTCTCCAGCCATATTTGTCATTAACCTCAGCTGTTGCCTCCTAGCTAATAAAACTTGGGTTGTCATATATCGGTTTTGATGAAGTAAAAGCTGAATATTATTATACAGACTTGCTTTCTAGTTTCTAGTGCAGGTAAAGCTGTACCAGCGTGCACAAGTATATTTGACTGATCTGGGTAAAGGCGTGGTAGGAGAGATGATAAGTCTTTTCTCATTGGTATCTTTGTGTGGTGAGTAATTTTGTGGCGACTGCCTCAGGGCTTTCATCCCTTTACAGTGCAGGGGAGAAGTAATATGAGATATGCAGAATTTCTGTGGTTACATTAATGAGGGTTTTGTATTTTTTCTTTTTCTTCTCTCCCTCCCTTTGCTTCTTTTCGAAATGTTCATGGCTCAGTCAGCGGATGGTCGAACGGTGCCACTGGAAAGACCTACTTGTTTCCTTCCCTCTGTTGTGTATCTCTGTCCTCCTTACTTTTGCTAGCACTATATGACCATTACTGTGTCGATGTGCTTCTTTTAACTCAAACAAAACAAATGGCTCGGTCTTATTACGGGATATATGGTAGAGTTGGGGCCTTTTCAGAGACGACATGTTGAAAGTAGCCAGGTGCATGCTCTTCTCTCACTTCTTGGGTTTTTTAGTATGAGCAGTCACAGGGATGTGTCTTTTAACACAACACGAGGACTAGAGCTCAGAAAGTACACTGTAGTTGATGATCAATTGTAATGTGTCTGTGAAATTAATTGTAGATGTAGGCCTTCTGAGTTGTGGGTATTATAAATACTATATTATATTTTAATTTGTAATAGTAACTTATTTTATTTTGCAATGCATTACTTACCATTGTAATTTAGATTTCTTTATGCAGTAGATGAAGAATTGTGGTAGATCTATCTTTGTTCCTAGAAAAGGCGGTCAAAAATTAGCTGAAAGATCGTTCGCCCACCTTGCTCCGTCAGTTTGGAACTCTCTTCCCCAACCCTTGAGACATACAACATCTGAGTCTAAATTTTAAAAATCTTTAAAGACACATTTAATGACATCCTTTTTAAGTCAGTAGGTTCATGTTCAATACAATGTTATGTAAATGTCTATGAATCCATTTATGTATTTTGTGAATTGCAGTGTATATATTATTTTATGCTCATTTCGTGACGATGTGTAATCGTGTGCGTGTGATAAGCAAGTAGATGTGTGTGTACGTGTGTGTGTGTGTGTTTGGCATACATGTGTGTGCACATGTGTGCGTGTTATATGTTCGTGAGTGGGTATGCGTGTGTTTGTGTGTGTGTATGTGTATATGTGTGTGTTTGTGTGTATATGAGTGTGTGGATTTGTGTGTGTCGCGTGCATGAATGTTCTTACATGCATTTATGTAAAGCGCCTAGAGCTGTGTTTACACGGGAGTGGGCGCTATAGAAATGATCTTCATTATTATTAATATTATTATTAATATTATCTTTTTTTTAAACCACCAGACAGTGGTGCTCCACAGGTTGTCGTAACTTTCGACAACCCGCCCCCCCCCCCCCCCTTCCACCCTCTTTAAAATTATTTAATAAATAACATGCCAATACAAGAATGTCTCTCTCTTGTTCTTTTTCAGTATACCGAGAGCGGCAGACAATGCTTGTGATCAATTCCATTCAAGTGGCCCAGCTGCCCCAGGAGGAAGAGGAGGGTGGAAAAGAGTGACAGAGAGGAGGGACACAAAAGATTTGTTAGTTGTCTGCTTTTGCCTGAGCTGAGTTTGTGAGAGGAAACTTGGCGTCTTGCTTCCGGCCAGGCCTCGATGAGTGATAGGAGCATTTGTGAATCCTTATTGTGTTGCTAGTGTCGTAAAACACTTACTAAATCTAAACGTTTGTGAATCATCTACTGCTGTGAGGAATGTGAGCAGTTACAGAGAGAAAGAGAGAGTCACATGATACACCTCTTGTATGTGTATATATATATACTGTTTATTATTTCTGTTGTAATGCGTCCGTCTTTAATTGTAACTGCCAGCAGGTGCAAGAAACATTTTCAACATTTCCCACAAGGCTTGTAACTCTTTGTGTTGTATTGTATCTAGGAGAAAGTCTCTAGCCATACTCTCTAGACTTGTACTGGGCTCTACAGTCAGTTTTGTTTTGTCATTAATTATCCACAGCTGTTACTTCTTACAAAGCTAATAAAACTTGGAATGTCATTTATAGGTTTTTGATTAAATAAAAGCTGAATATTCATATATATTTCAGACCTACTTTCTATTTTCTAGTATGTAAAACTATATCTTTGTATTTCAATGGTGTGGCTGCTTCTATCTTTGTGTCTGTACAATTGATTTTATTCAAGTTCAAGGGACATTTTAAAGATTAGAAATATGCAAGCCTTTTGTAAAAGTTCATATTTCTGAGGAACTGTACTCTTTCCAGGCATTTGGGGAGAAAGAGAATGGAAAAGTCATGTTTGGTGTAATAGACCAGCGAATGCCACTTATAAACAGGTAGCAAAGTTGGATAGGAAATCTTTTTTTTTTTTTTTGTAATAAAGAAAATATCCCTTTGTTCAGCTTTGTAATGATTTACAAGGGAGTACAAGTCTTTTCAATAATTCCCTTAACCAGGCTGTCTGTTTCAATCTCCCTTTACAGTCTTCTTGGGTGCAAATGGTCTTGCAGCCTGTGTTAGACCTGTAGATACCTACTATCATTCACATAATATTCCATCGCTACCAATGACCACATATGCCTGTGTGTGGTTGGAGTGTGCAGCTTCTGGTAGGTTCTACTTCTTTACTTTCCCTCTGTTGTTTCTGTCTGTCTGTGTGGGTGGGTGGTTGGAGGGTGTCACTGGTAGGTCCTACTTCTTTACTTTCCCTCTGTTGTTTCTGTCTGTCTGTGTGGGTGGGTGGTTGGAGGGTGTCACTGGTAGGTCCTACTTCTTTACTTTCCCTCTGTTGTTTGTTTTCGTCTTTCTCTCAATCTTTTTCCCACTACTACGAAATGACCATCAATGAGTGGATGTGCTTCTCTTTACTCAAACTCAAACAAACAAACCACACAGACCTACTTACTTGCTGCCAAGTGAATTGAGGAATATGTGGTATCGGTACACACCTTTTCCATGAATATATCTTATCCATATATATTCAATAAGGCAGGAATGTTTTTGGTACTATTCCAGCGTGTTGTTGTTCATTCTCATACTGCAATGTCATGTCTTACTTCACGGATGACCTCGGGATCTAGTAGACACTACTAGTAGTATGAACTGTCTGTGTGTTTGTTGTAGTGGTAGGTGTGTTTGTTAACCTTTGGCTCACAAGCTGTTTTGAGACACGGTTCTGATATATGACTCTACTACTAAGATGTGCCCACTTTATGTCGGAGTGATTGTATGTTACTGATTTAAAGTGTTACAATGCTGAATTTTAGGGATATGGATGGAATGTTGTATGTTGAGTTTTAGGAACGTGGATGAGACGTGCATGTTCTTTTGCTTGTCTTTCTCAGTCGAGAAGCTTTATCTTCTTGTAGACTTGTGCGTGGTTTGAGTGAAGTTGAGTATTCCATGTAAGAAAGTTGTTTATGTATGAAATGTTAAATTTGATGAATAAAGAAAGAAAAGAAACTTCATTGGTTTATGTGTTACTGGAGTTTATGTTGTTGTTGTTTATTAGTTTGTTCAGTAAAAATGTATTTGTTAGTGGCACTTGTTATCTACATAATTTGGGGAAATGACACACTCTATTTTGCTTCATTTTATGATTTATTGTACTCATACCTCAAGGGGTCAACCTGTACAAGAGGAAAACAGTTTAACAAATGAAAAACTATTTGGTACGGTATGAATGAATATATATTTAGAGTTAAATTTTGTTATTATGAAGATTTACCCCTGTTCATTTAGACACAAGGTTTTGTCCAAAGACATGCATGTATATTATATGATTTATTTGTTCTTTTGTTTTTTTTAAATGTGGGTGGTTGGCGGGTGCTGTGGTGTGGTTTACTTTACTTTTTCTTTCCTTTCAAACATCTATCGTCCTTATCTCCCCTCCTTCTTTTTTGTTGTTACTCTCTTGTCACACCTCTAATCTTAAGCTCATATGACCTTATGCAGTTGCGAGCCCCATAAAACCCTCTACTAAACTAAACTCTAATCTTCGGCACTTATATGACCTTGTCGTGTTGCAAGTGCCGTAAAACACTTACTAAAACTAAAACTTAACTTTTAAAATATAAAATGTAGGTGTTTTCACGCTCTTATCGATACAATCAAGATAATTCAAGACGCAGGCTTTAACTCTGCCTGTCAGGGCCGACCCAGGCTGAGAGGGGTACAATGTCCCAGCAGGATGACTGCTACATGCAGTAAAGATTCTTCCTACACGGAAATCGAACTCAGGTTTTCTGAGTGCAACAATAAGGTGCCTAACAGCTACACCACAAACACCATTAATTTCTTGTATAAACTGAGGAAGAAAATGGATAAAGTGATCTTCAGTGATTCTTTTTTGAAGATGGAGGGATGAGGTCTACAGAAACACACAAAGTAAAAACATAATGAGGCTTCCCTTGCTGTCAGCTATGATATATAAAGAGAGAGAATATTATATATATATATATATATTATAGCTCAGAGGCAGATGGCCCATCAGAACTAAGGCAAAATTACATTTTTATACCTATGTACATGTAATTAAATAATATTTCTAGTCCCCTCCTCCAGTTCCTTTCAACCCATTTTTTTTTTTTTACTATTAAAAAAAACAACCCCAGTATGTTGTGTGGTGACTATCGAGTTGTCATGTTATTTTCTCTTACTTAGTGTTTCTTAGATATGTATTTCTAGCTCTCTATCTATCTGTTGGGATGTATCTCACTCAGCCTAGGTCAACAATATCAAATTCAGTTTCAGATCCAAAATTTGTCCCTACATTGTGTATATATATATATATATATATATATAAATATATATATATATATTCTTCATATTTAAAAACTCGTACATTCAAAATTTGCGCAAAAAGAACATATTTTGGTGAATCCTGCGGATTTCACTGTCTGCATGTTAAACTATAACTGCAATTTCACGTGTGTGATTGCTCCAAGCGTCAAGAAAAAGTCAAGAGTGAAGGAATGTTATTTTTTAATAAAAACTTTATTTTATTGATCCATGACTATGAGAGAAATTTTCGGTGGATACAGCAGAACATTTACAGGGAAAGATTCAGTATCAACACAGAAATGCACCCATTACATTCATCTCTCTCTCTTTCTCTCTCTCACACACACTCTCTCTCTCTCACACACACACTCTGTCACACACATACACTATCTTAGGCTTCCCAATGTCTGACACATCGAAACTCTCATCCATCACAGTCCCCATGATTGCAGACTCAGGCTGCCAGAGCTCAAAATTATTTGAATTATCCCACTCAGTTCCGCCCTAGCAAAGGGAATCAACAAGGCAGACATCATCCCAGTCAAGTTAGTGATGAGAGGAGCAATCCAGGAAGACCTGGCTGTTCTGTTTGTTTTAGTAGAGGTTTTACAGCGCTCGCAACTGCATATTTAAGGTCATGAGCGCCAAGAGGTGGATGTTAACAGAGAGGTCCTTACAGGGAATCAGGCGTACTCTGCTCGCCTCTCTAGATTCAACAGCACAAAGTCTGCTTCGACAATCAAGAGGCACCCAGGAAATAGCGGGTCACAAGAGTGTGTAAAACATACAAAAGAAGTAGAGGGATATGACGATACATGTAGTAAGGATTAGGAAAGAAAAAGCAGTAGTTCCCTGTTGTAATTCATGCACAGTTATGAGCATGACATAGTCGGATCAGCCCATTTACAATTCTACTGAGCATTAGAATGAGAAAGGTCCCCCCTTTGGGAATGGCCTCAAGACACTTCAGACCTGGGTCTGGAAGGCGCGGTCATTACAGATGTGTCCACAACAGATGCATCAGGCGCAACCAGATCAACAAAACAGCTTACTGCTGTCTTTCAGCCCCACCCCTGATCTTCTGGTAGGAAAGATCTCCACAAAACCTTCTCGGACAAGGGCCAAAAATCTCGGAGGGCCCGTGTGCAAGTTGCACACGATAAAGATCCCTTGGTGGTCTAAAATCGATAAGAGCAGGCTTCACGCATGAACTGAGTGCATTCCTTTTCTTCTCCGCTCCCTTTTGTTTCCAGTCTGACCCATTTCCCTGATCGGCATAAAAATACGAGAGAAACGAATGTGACCCGTTTTTGTCTCCGCTCGCTTTCCGTTCGTGAACATCCGGTGCTGTCATTAACACAGTAGATCTTACATGGTCTTGAGTTTGCTACCCGTGTTGAGCAAAGATGGAGGTTTTCAATTACTCTTATTGTTTTGGATAAAAAGAAGACGCCGCATCCCAAAACGGCACTGGTCTTATAGCATTTTTCTACGAATAGGTGATTTGGAGAATATCATCATCTTCGGGATGAAGTTTTAAGGGATGAGGAAAAATGTGTTTTCTACATTCGGATGCAACCTGAAACTTATTACATTATTTTTCAAATCAAAGTCACAAGTCCAAGCCTTCCCCGGCGTGCTCCGCCATCTTCCTCTGGGCCGTGACCTTGAGCAGTGTGTGCAGGAACAAGGCCCGCTCCCGTACCGCCCTGTCCGAGTCGCGCGCGCACCGCTCCATCACGCGGCACAGCACCGGCTGCACGCGGGCCGGGTGCGACATGCACGCACGCACCATCGCGCCCAGCAGCGCCACCTTCAACTGACGCTTCTGCTGCTGCTGCTGTTGCAGCTGCTGCTGGGACCTGCTGCTGACGACAGCACCACCACCAGCAGCAGTGTCTCCACCGCCAGAAGCGAAAGAGCCGCTGTGGCGTCTGAAAGCCGGGAATGTCTCCTGACCTTGCCAAAGATCTTGGCTATGACCTTGACCCCCTTCATCACCGTCTGCTTCTTCTGGGCTCTCCAGCCACTCTTCCAGGATGGTGCTCAGGACCTCGGGCGTCTCCTCCAGGCCGACCCCGTGCCAGCCGATGACCTCCACGCACGCCACCCTGGCCGTCGGTGACGTCAGCTTCCGGAAGTGACGCGTCAGACATGACGTCACCGCCTCCCAATGGCTTCCGTCCTGGAACACGACCAGAGGCAGTGCCTGGGGATGAAAAATAGAGAAAAAGAAGATAACAATTGAGAAAAAGAGAAAATAACGAGTTTGTTATGTTTTATTGATATTACCACGTAGACAGACAGACAGACAGAAAGAGAAAGAGAGAGAAACCAAGTAACATGGAGAAACAGAGCAAGATAGACAGAGAGTTACAGCGAATGGGTGTGGGGGGTGGGGGGGGTAAGGGAGGCAGAGGTGGGGCAAAAAATTAACTGATTCCTCCCCC